CATACAGAGAGATGTGCTTCTAATATGGATGTTTGGCTATTCGGGGGTTGGGGACAACAAAAGAGCTGACTGTCTATCTAACCGGGCGGCCCAAGGACCATAGGTCCTGAAGCTTTCTGTGGCTAGTAACGTAATAGACGGGGAAAAAATCCGATTACTATTGGAAGCAATGTGCACCACCAAGGCAAGCAAAGAGATTCATGAAATCTTCCGGTATAGCACACAAACTACTGGAGTTAACAAGGAACGACCTACACTTGGTCACTGGCTTGCACACGGAAAACAAAGAAACTTTGTTCTCACATAAAGGTTCTACGGCAAAGACTTCTATTCCATCCAAACTTTTCACTTAATCCAATTTGATATGCCGCAATACTATTTATTACTCAGCGACTTTTTCAAAGCAAGCATAGGGACTGGGCGTAAAAATGATCCAAATTAATCTATTTTCTGAAAAATTTGGGATCTATAGGTTGAATAGAGAAATACATAGACAGACATCGGATTGAATTCGCATCCTGCACTATAATTAGTTTGCTTGGTAAAATAACGCTAGAATATAATATAAATAAATAGCTGGAAAGTGCTGCCAGATCCTATAATGCGATATATACTTACTTGGGCGGGTCTTGGGTTCAAATCCACCTCTACCTGAACTAACCAGACATTTGTAACATATTTGAGAAAACTTCAAACTTGCTTTCAAAAAGGCTTGTTTAAGGGCATATTACAACAAATTAACATTAGTCTGCGGTTCCTTGGTAAACGGAATAGCAGCTCAAGTATAGGCCATGAACAACCATTTAACTAGACAAGCAGCGTTAAATTGATTGAAAACAAACTCATAAAAGATGTCTGAGTTATGTTTCGGTATGTTCTAATCCAATACTTTAAATGATACCGTTTAGAGACTATAAACAACTGTTCAACAATTTGATGGAGAGTTTATAGTCTTTAAAACGTTCACATATAAAAAAAACTAATAATATAAAGCAAATTAAATTTTCTTGCAAAAATTAAAGAAAACTTTTGGATTTTAATGTTCTGCCAGTTGAAAATTTCCACTCTGCTACAAGAGAATTTCCCAACAAGAAAACAGAAAAAAAAAATATTACACAAAAGCCGCACTTGAAACCGGCTTGGCACTCATTCGCACACACATGCATAAAAAATTTGTTGATAAAAACCGCAAATTTTCAAAATTTAAACAAAATGCAAAATAATACAGACGTAAAATTGTAGGGTCACTTTTTTATGCAAATAAACACAGGCAGGCAAGGCAGGCAGGCACACGTAAGCAAGCAGGCTGTCGGCATCATTCCACATTCATAACGGAAATTACAGTTAAATTGTTATATAATTTTACAACTTTTTTCTATAAACAACATCTGCATAACATTTGTAGCTTGTCTTGTTATTCCTATTGCTACCATTATCATTATTATTATTATTAGTGCTGTTGTCGCTGTTGTTGTTGTTGTTATTATTGTTATTCAGCTTAATATTAATTCAAATGTATGCAATAATTTTCTACATGAATTACAGCAAATGAATCCCATTCTTTTTCAAAAAAAAAAATTGTGGAAAAATTTCGTCGTCCCTTGTTTAGTTAATGGTCATCTCTACAAGAGGTTAGTTATGTATTAAAAAACTATATATATAGAGATGTGAATGATTGTGTGCATATGCGGTGTTATGAATGAATGAATACAAAATTTTTTAAATATATCAGAGAAACTTTGTTGCTGTTATCCTGTACTAGTACTCACAGTATTTGTTTTTCACAAGTTTTATTGTTGTTGTTGTTGTTGTTGTTGTTGTTGCTGCTGCCATCCTTCGCCTATTTTAACCATCGAAATACATGCAGTTGAGAAAACATTTGTCACTATTGCTGTCTTAGCTCTGTAACTGTAGCAAGACTTGCCTCGCTGCTGCCTGACAGATGGAACTTTTATATTTTTGCGAAATCTGAGCACGTAATTTTGTAGAGGTTTGTTATGGCAACATGATTGAATTATCAGTTTGTTGACTTGCATCTTGTTTCACTCCCTCTCTTAATATTTAAAATTCTTCAGCTCTGCTTGCCATGCACTAAAATTAACAATAGAAATTTTCTATAGAACAGAAAGTCAACCAAGAACCACAAAAACGAACTTGTAATGAAAACAAAAATAAGAAACGAAAAAAAAAAAAAAAAAAACTTCACATCATCAGAAATGTGACAGTTGCGAAATGTCAATCTACGTGATGATTGAACGTAGCACAGGGAAGAAGATGTTTTTCCGTGCATAGAAAATGGGAAAAGCAAGTTTTAAAGAGATATTGGAAAACGCGTGTTCAATATCATCTTACGTTAGAAACTTAAATTAAGGTTAGAGAAGAACGAAATTAAACAAAAGTTTTAATTAAAATTTAATAGACCGCACGATAAGACCTGACTGAAATTGAACATTGCTTTTCAACTTTTTCATCTTAAAAGATTGCAATAAAACTGCTTTTAATATATATGTTTAACAAAACAATAATTAGCTATAGGAACAATTAGCTTATAGGCATGCAGAATATTTTCTCATGTAGTTGATGTTGATGGTAGCGGTATACTTCATTCTTTCGCATAGGATAGCTGGAATATATATTTTTTCCTATCTTTGCCATTCCTATGCTTGCTTGCGATAAAGCAGTCCAAGGAGTTGGTCTTTTCAGAAGTGCTATCGCCAGTGTTCTTCAATTTGTTTTATCTTTCTTAATTGGTCAAATTTTTTACCTCACACACATGCACTCACAATGGTGGAGTTAATTGAGAGCGGCATTATGGAATGATACTTAAAATCTTGTAAGCGAGTTTTGAGACTAGAAGTAAAATGGAAAGAAAACTTCATAAAGTGAATAGCGTTACGTTCTGCTTCGCCTAGCAAATAAAGAATAAAAGCAATTCTCTTATACCATAAAGATATCATAGATTTTTGTTCCCTTACTGAAAAGAATAGAATGATTTCCAGAGTTTCCTGAGTTACATGCCTACTAACCATCTGCATCAACTTTATTCTTACGAAAAGATTATTACAGTGATAATGCTTGTTAGATTTTGGAAAAATCTTTAAATAATTAGATTATTATATAAAGATAAATAACTAAAAATATGTATAAAAATATTCACTATTGTTTTGCCCAAGTATTTAAAAAAGGCTGGGCGGCTTCTTTCATTTAGAAAAACGATATATCTCTTAGCACTAACAAGAAAATTAAAAAATTAAAAATTCGGTCGTACACCCTTCGCACAAAGTGTAAGTGAACAAGTGTAAATATATCTGTAAGCAGCTTTCCATTATGCTCCCCGTTCAATTGTCTCCAAAGAAACGAAATGCAAGCCAACCTATAAAACCTTAAGGGGACCATAGATACGGGACTTACCATCGGAATGAAGCATTCCCAAGAGTTAAAACCATAGTGGTTTTAAATTGACTTAAACTTAAGTTTGCGCCGTAAGACGCACGATGAACACGCAGAAATATTGCAAGTTAAGTGAAAGCTATCACGAGAATTTCCTATCCTGAAGACTTTTGATAAAGAGCCACACATGCATACTTTTAAGGATGCTTTCTTTACAATATTAGCTTAATAGATGCCTTGAGTTTTTAGAATTCACTGAAAAAATTCATTAAAGCACAACTTTGTGCAAAAAAAGGGGCACATGCAAATTATATTTATCCGAAGAATAGACGCTGCGCCACATATACGCTAAAAAAGTAAATCTAATTTTTGTAATAAGTAATCAAGTTTATGTCCTGTCAATGTATTTGTATGCAAAGTAGACATACACGGACAGCCTTCAAGTCTGTGCAATTACTGCAGAAGAAAGAGCCAAAAGTGCTCATAATTTCATTCAGTTGGCTAAAAAGTTCTTACCGTTCTTTTTCTAGTGTTCCTTTTCGACTACTCTTTATGTTCTGCCCTATTTCCGGTAAAGGATGCTAACTTTTTGCGAACGTATACAACGAGGAGAAAAACTTGAGGCATATTTTCTGAACGATTTCTATTTTTACTATGCCAGATCATTCGATTAAAGCATGTCGGTCCATCTATCCGCTTGAAGTGCATATATATATTTTCCTCTTTCATCTAGAGAGAGATTCTTATTTTCAAGGCACTTTGATAATATTTCCTACCCGCTGGCTTCTTCCGGCCTAAGCCAAAGAGCTCTTGAAAATGCAGTGTTGCATTTGCAGAGCTATTCTAACTATAACGATCTGTATTGAGGAAGTCATTTTTAATATTTCTCAGCCAAAATCTGCGAAAAGGGGATGCTTCGATAAGTGGGGAAAATTTGAAACAATCCCTCTCCATACAAATGCTTTAAAATGAAAATAAGCTTGCATACGGCAACAAGGTATACCTTGCATTTAGCATTATAAGATAAATGTTGGCCCGCAAACTTGCGACAATTACTATGCTCAATTTGGACCTCACAAGTCTGTTTTTCGATTGCTTTCTCGTACAAGATTTCTTATGAAAAGTAAAAATTTATAGATAGATTTCATAAGGACTTGGATTTTACAAGGAAAATAGATGAGAAATGCTATTAGGCGGTTTTATTTGTCGGCTTTGCCTGACTATAAGGTTTTAACTTGTTTTTTCTCAACCTATGCGAATAATGTGGACATGCTGAGTTGAAGCGATAACTTGTGTGTAAGTGAAATTATTTCTACTGTTACATATTGCTTACCCCCATGTGGCGTGTTACGTATGAACAAACTGATGGTAGGTATTAAATGTGAATCGATCTAAAGGATCAAAACTGATTTTGCTTTTAAATTTAATTGTTTAATTTTTCTTTACCTCGTATATATAGATATGAGTAAATTTTTAAAATAATTTTTCTTATATTTTTTCTCTTTGAATTCTCTTTATGTAATGTGTGAAATGAATGTATGAAAAACAAAAAAAAACAAAAAAACAAAAAAAAAAAAAACTTCATATCATCGACTTGTGTATACAATCAGTTGGAACAATATGCCTCACGTTATGCATTTGGTTATCGTATACGTGATTTTAATACCGGCAATGATTTTGGCCACAAGCAAAATCGTGATGTCGACGGCGTGACACGAGGTCAATACCATATTTTATTACCGGATGGTCGTGTACAAAATGTCATTTATAAAGCCGATGATACAGGATTTCATGCGGATGTCACTTTCGAAACAGGACATTAAAGCACTAACACTAATAAAATAACACAAAAAATTTTGCCGCATTAGAAGTAATTTTAATATATGCAATAAACTGTATAAAGAACTTTTATTTAATTTCGTTATTATAATTATTATTATGATTTTATTTTCAAAATTCATTTGCAAATTGACATTTTGTCATGTTTGTATATTGTATTTCTCTTCCTCTTCCTCTTCCTCTTTTGTACGATTTTTCACTTTTTTTGTTTTGTTCATTTGGTTTTACAATTTAATTTTTCAATTCAATTAAATCGATGGTTAATTTAACACAATATTTTTAATAAGCGCAACAGAATTGTTTAAAATAAATTTTTATATCAGAATTTCTTTTTTTCTTTTTTTTTTATTATTAATTTTTTAATGAAATTGTCACAATCTGTGTGTGTTTGTAAAAGGAGAAATAATTTTTTAATTTAATAATAAATAATAATAAATAATTACATGATTTCTCTATAAATACATCTATACATCTATATATATATATATATATATATATATATATATATATATATATATAT